CAGATGAGGAAACTGAGGCATATAGGGTAATGTGACTTGCCCAGGGTCATACAGCTCATAAAGTATCTGAGGCCAGATTTGAACTCAGGTCCTCCTGACTCCAGGGCCATCATTCTATCCACTGTGCCACCTGGCTGCCCTGTGTATATGTGTACACATGTTTATACATAGATAAATATGTACGTGTGTATATATATAAAATAGATAACATACATCGTAATACATTATAATATACTACAATATTGGCTGATGTGACTCTCAATGCTCTAGGCAGTTTTCTAAGACAATAAAGTTTCAAAGAAGATAAACACCTGAATTAGTAGATCTCTTCCAGGGAATTTCCCATATCAGTGAAATCACAGGTCTAGTCTGTCTCTCTGTGGTGTGTATATGTGTTTGTATGCATACACACAACACATATCCATGTAGTTATACACATATACATACATGTACATATGTTCTTTTCTATCATCTACATGTCTTTTCAATAGGATAATTAATCCAATTCTAATAGAATATTTGTCTTTCTTATAGAATGCCTCTAATAATAGAGTGGCACAGCTGGACCCCAGGTCAGGAAGACTGAGTTCAAATGTGACTTCAGACACTTGCCAGCTGTGGGACCTTGGGTAAGTCTCTTGATTTCTGTCTACTTCAGTTTCCTTGCCCACAAAATGGAAATAAGAGCTCGTACTATCCAGGGTTGTGGTGAGGATAAAATGAGATGATAAATGTAGAGTGATTTGCAAATCTTAAAGTGCTACATAGATAAATGCTAGCTATTGTCTGTGTATAAGCTGCTCATAAAAGCTGCCCTCCCCCAGGCGTCTTCTCCCTCTGCTACTTACTACAGTAAGTTTCTTTCTGCCTCCTTGCATTTTGGTTTCCTGCAGATCCCAGTGATCTTCAGGGCTCTCTCAGCTCTAAATTATGGGATCCTTTTCCCTACACCACCATGTTGCTTGCTACCTTTTTGTGATTTTCTTGGTGTTCACAGTCAGGGGATTTCAGCTGGATAGTTGCTGTAGGGTGTGAAGGAGAGGGAAGCTATGTTGATACCCTGGCTTTGGAGTCCAGGTCCCAAATCATGCCTTCGATGCTTTCTATCCCAGTGACTTGGGCCACGGCATGCCATCCCTAGGCTTCAGTTTCCTCATTTGTAAAAGGAGGAGGTTGGCCTACACTGTCTAAGGTCTCTTACAGCTCTAAGCCTGAGACTCTATGATGGGCCTCAGGCTTCATCCTCTCAGGCTCCAGCAGAGAGAGGGTTCACACAGGATGGATTTCAGGAGGCAGTAAGGGGGGAAGGGAACTGATAGGAGTGGTACAGGGATGTGCTGGAACCGACTCGAAACTGAGGACCCAATTGTTAGATTTTCAGCATGAACATCTACACCTGTCAGCAAATACTACAAATCAGGGCTTGATTTATTATTTCATTGATTTCTAAACTTAAGTGATGGGAAGTGTTAATGATGTGAATTAAACTTAAAAGTATGTGGATACTCTTGTCCTCCCCCCCCCCCCGCGCCCAGCCTGGTTGTTAAACATTTACCAGCATGTCCTTGGGTGGCCTACTGAGGTGGGAGGAAAAGAGATACTGGGAAGAAGGGTGGGCAGATTCCTGATCTTTAAGGACACTTTGGGGTAAAAGAATCAGATTGTGGCAAATTATCACAGCAGCTCAACTTTCTCTAGCCTGAGGCCCCTTGATGAGGAAGTGAGAGGGACTTCAGGTGGCTTCTTGGCACATGCCAGGGAACATCTGCACCAGCTGCCCAGGCAGCCTGGGGTCCCAGGGGGCGGTGAAGACGGCAGCTGCCAGGGCAGACAGGGGAAGATAGCAAGGAATGATCTTCCATTCCTACTCTAATCTAAAGACATATTATCTCCTGAAGCCCTCTGCCGAAATAAGTCTATCTCTTTCGTATAGACATAAATGTTCATGTTGCCTCCCCTAGATGTAAACTTCTTGAAGGCAGAGGCTGTTTCACTCATCTTTATATGTATATATATATATGTATTTATGTATATATGTATACATATGCATATATATGTATGTGTGTGTGTGTGTATGTATACATGTATGCCTGGCAGGTACACAGGAGGTGCATAATACTTGTTTTTTGAATGGGACTAACCCTCTTCCCCCCCGCCCCACTTCCCCCATTCTCAAACTGGCTTCTGCTAGTTTGCAATCTCCTTCCCACTGGCCATGGGGCCACAGGCAGAAATTTGGATTTTCAGTGTATGTGGATGGATGCTTAAGAGGGTCATGTTAATGCTAACCCTCAGACTGAGTCAGTTGGGAGATCTTGTTCCTTTCCTTTCAGAGGTCAGACAAGATGTGGTGAGTTCCTTCCCTCAGGACAAATCCTTTCCTTCTTTTCCTCATAACCCCTACAGTGACCTCTTTCCCACTTTTCTCAGATCCTAATCCCATGGTTCAGGAGGAAAGATTGGAGACTGCCCAAGCTCTCCTTTTTCTTACCCTCACCAGAACATGCCACCTAAAAGATCTGCAGTCTACCTGGATCCCTTGGAGAAACACACTCAGGTGTCTGGTGTTTCAGGGCTCAGAACTTAGGCACTCTGACCAGGGAAGACAGGCACAAATGTGGGGGTGGGGGGATGGATTGCAGGCCCAATCCCCTCCACTCTTGAGGTGAACAAAAGTGACTCAGAAGGAAGGTTTTCTTTCATCCTTTCCTTTTCACCTCTTCTTCCTCTGAGTTAGGATGAGGATTATTGTCCGTGTATTGGAATGGAAAAAGCTCTGGCCTTGGACTGAGGCAGGAGACCAAGGTTTGTATGCTATTTCTGATGCAGCCCATCTTCTTGTCCCACTCTAGACCCTGCAGATAGCTCTCCCCTTTCTGTATAGTGTTTCCCCCTTCAGAATTCCCTCCCTGAGGGCAGGGACTGTCTTTTGTGTGTGTGTTTGTATCAGCCCTTAGCTCACTCACAGCAAACACTTATTCATCTCTCTCTGTCTCACACACACACACACACACACACACACACACACACACACGACCCTGCTTGACTTTGTACCCAGAAACATTCAGGAAAGCTGTTGGGAAGATCTTCCGGTCTATCATTCTCCAATCACTTCAGTGCAGTGTTACCTGGAGGCTGGAGAATGGAGAGTCTAGAGGCCAAAACTAAGAGAGGAGTCTTGGGGAAAATAATGCAAATTAAGCAAGGCTCCAGCCCCTCATGGGGCTCCTTGCAATGATTCCCTTAGCAGAAGATTCAGGCTCCAGCATGGTCAATAGCTACAAGAGACAGAGATCTGGGTTCAAATCTCTCCTCTGCCACATGTGTGATTCTTTGAGTATCTCAGCCTTCTTATCTATAGTATGAGGTCAGACTGCATGATGTCTAAGGTTTCTTGTAGTCCTAAGTGAACTTTAAAGTGCTATTGGAATATATGAGTCAAATGGGGTGGGAGGAGCAGTGAGCTGCCACCCAACTCTCCCCTACCTCTTCCCTGTTACCAGAGCTATTGTCAGCCTGGTGTGTGACGGGGTACTGCCTTATTGTGAAATGCCCAAGCCTTACTTGGGGGCCACAATTCACCCTCTGATCATTTTTAGGGCCCCATTAGAACAAAATTTTCTGCTGGCCACTCCCCTGATCTGTGCCACCAGCGTCCAAGTCAGGCAGGTTCTAGAGGGAAGGAAACATTGCAGCCTGGGAGGGATGCTTGGGCATTTTCAAGGATGGAAGTTAGAGAAGACAGGGTTCTTAATTAACACTCCTTCTTTCTGGCTTTGGCCTAGCTTAGACTCTGTGGGTCCAGAGGTAAGGAACCTAGAGATGGGGGCCACAGTATTGGCCCCTCCTCCAACTGTGCATTCTCTGACACTCCCTCCCCCAACACACTCCATTCTCTCTGGCTTTCCCGTCCTCTCAAACACACCCAGTCCTTCTCACACCCATCCTCTCCCACCCACATTCACACTCATGCCTTTACTTACTTTCCATCTCACATCCTCTAGATCTCACACTCACTCACATTCTGAAGTATATTCTCTCAAAATCACAGGGACACTCTTCTGCCTGATTTTTCCTGCTCTTACCCTACATCATACATTTCCTCACCCACACACAGATTCTCTCACGTTCCCTAGGACAAAAAGGAAGAAAACTTTGGCTCCATTCCATTTCCCATCACCAACCTTACCCCCAAAGAAACAGACCCCCACCCTTCCCCCAACAAACAGGAAAAAAGACCTTTTCCTAAAATCCATGATTAAAACCTGGTACAAACAGGTAAGTTTTGTGTGTTTTTTTTTAGTAGATGTACTTTTTTTTCCTCTTTCTTGTTTTACAGCAAACATTGCAAATATAGAAATATTTTTTTTCTCTGTACAATAGAACGACTACAGATTACAATGTGGGGTAGGGTTAGGCCAAACAGGAGTTGGGGCTGGCTTCTAGCCACAAGCTCTTGGCCCTGGCCGTGCCCTCCCCCCTCCCCCAAAATCCCAACAGATGCTACTTCTCAGCTGACCTCAGAGTCCCACCTGAAAGATTTCCCCACCTCCCTGATTCGAGGCTCTCCCCAAACATCTGCTGTTCTGTCAGGCTTCTCAGATTCCTTTCCTATTTGTTTTCCTCATTTTTGGTTGACTCTGGAGGAGGGAGGAGGAGGACGATGGAGACGGACTGGACACAGAGAATCCACAAAAAAACCACAGACTGAGAAATCATGCGATGCAACAGCAGACTGGCCAGATCATGAACCTCTTCCCCTCACACTCACTATTTTTATATCTTTTTTTAAAGTACTTTTTTTCTTTAAAAAAAAAAAAGAAAAAAGAGAGAAAAAGAAAACTCCCCACCCTCCCCACCCCTGAGCCACAGTTTTCTGAAGTCCCTTGTGTATTATGTTTGTGTGTGTGTGTTGTGTGTGTGTGTGTTGTGCATGTGCATGTTCAGATTCAGTGCAACGCTCCAAAGGTGAGATCATCTCTGGATATATTATGCTACCATTCATCATATTTCCTTTATTTTGTTGTTGATGTCAATTACCCCTCCCCTCCCTTCTCCTGTCACCTGCTGAGGATCAGGGCAATGGGGGAAATGGGGTGCATGATCCTTTTTTAAATTGTGTGTATGTATGTGTATGTGTTTCGTTTTTAAAGACAGTCTCTGGGTTAAAAATAGCTGCTGTGGATTTCGGTTCCTTTTGGTCCAATGAGCATCACGAGTTTTAGAAGGCAGAGGGGAGGCTAGAGGAAGGGGAAAGGGAGGAGTGTGGGGAGGACAGAGGAGGACTCAGGACTTGTGCTGTGCAGACACACCCTTCCAGTAGTCTAAGATGTCGTGGAGATCCTCGTCTTTGGCAAACTGGACCTTTTTGCGCAGGGCGTGGCCGGCCGCCATGTATTCCTCCTCATCTTTATGGCGCTTACGGTTCAGTTTGAAGCGCTCCCAGATGCTCTGAGAGGGCTTGCAGGTGTACTCGGGGCTGGAGGAGTAACTCAGGTTGTGATACTGGGGAGAGAGCTGGGAGTAGGCCAGGTCCCTGGGCCGGGGTCTGGTCAGAGGCTCCAGGATGGAAGGCTTGCGGCCGCCCAGGCTGTCGTGGGGGGGCGCTTGCTCCCCCTGGTGAGAGCCCGGGTACGAGTGGCGGTGTTCACCATACTGCCGGATCTTCTCAGCCTCAGCCCGGAGGATGGCGGCCGCCGGTGTCACAGTGAGGATGGTGTCAGCCGTGGGTGACGTCTTCTCGATGTACTTCGCCTCTGACTTGTGGGCAGAGGATCCCTCGGAGCGGAAGGAGCGAGGACTCCGGACCGAGCCACTGGACGACGTGCTGGAGCGTTTGGGGGGGCCCTCCATGCTGTGGTGCCTCTGTAGCGGGTGGCTGTAGCTGTCCTTATAGACGGGGGACAGGAAGCCATGCTTGCTGGGAATCTGTTCCGACAGGAGGACCAGCTGGGGCTCGGCTGTGGACACAGCTCCAGACTTGACCCCCTGGAAGGAGGTGGACTCGGATTTGAGGGCATCGATGCAGTTGTTGATAATCTGGTTGACCTTGTCCACCTCCTTGGTGATGGTGGAGATCTCAGCCACAGAACTCTGACTGTCCGGCGGCAGGGCTAGATCACAGTCTCGCCTCTCTTGCTGCTCCCCTGTCCGAACCTCCATATAGTTACCCTTAGTGGTCTTAGGGGTCTCGCTGCTTTCTATGAGCTTGTACTGCTCCACTTCACCTGCAGAGGGAAGGTAGGGAATGCGGGTCACTGTCTCACCGCCCAGCATGGGCCCCTGGGACAGCTGGGCGATGCCCGGCGTCTCCAGCTCGGGCCCATACTTGAGCTCGATGATGGTCTTCTTCATGCCCCCTGCTGTCTTCTTGTGCTTTTCTTCCTGCTGTCGCCGTTTCCGCAGGCAGTAGTAGACAGCCCCGAGAACAATCACCATGCCGAAGAGGCAGCCGAGGATGGTCATGATGTAGTGGGTGGCAGTGGAGGAATTGGGAACGGGTCCTGGCGACGGCGGGGGCTTCGTAGGACAGATGGTGAGGCAGGTGTGGTTGTAACGCAGTGGGTGGCCTAGGGAGACCACACAGTAGGTGTAGTTGGTGTGGGTGATGAGGTTGGACAGCTCAATCTCCTCACGCTCTTTGTGCAAGTTGGTGATGTCGGAGGAGAACCCATTTTCAAACTGAGCCAGGACGTACATCTTCCTGAAGGGGGAGGGCAGCTGGACGCCGAGCGTGGCAGAATTGTGGGTCAGGTGCTTCACCCAGATGTTGGGCCGCATCTCTGACTTGGTGGCAGGAGTGTGGAAGGCCACGAGGGGCGTGGTGCCATCTCCCGAGAAGCACTCATCCTCTGCGCAGGGGCCCTCTGGTGGGGGGGTGGTGGGGGGGTAGCGGGCGGGGATGAAGCGGGATCCCACAGTGTATGACCCATCGGTGCAGAGGCTGGACAGCATGCTCAGGGCGTTTCGGTAGCTGGTCCGGCCTTGGCCAAGCAGGAAGTAGCCAGAGTAATCGGGCGGTGACTCGCACTGCATCCGGTCGTAGGTGCGCGTCATGTTGGTGAAGTCTGCCAGCCATCTGAGGAACCCCAAGAGCTCGCAGGAGCAATAGAAGGGGTTGCTGTAAAGCTCACAGATGGAGAGCTTGGCCAGCCCTGTGAAGGTGCCACTGTCTAGCCTCTGGATGCGGTTCATGGACAGGTCGATGTTCATGATGTTAGGGCACTCCCAGAAGGCAGTGGGGGTGACCGTCTCGATGAGGTTGGCCTGGAGGTAGAGGTACTCCAACTTGCTCAAGCCTCGGAGAATCCCCTCTGTGAGGTTCCTCAGGCGGTTATAGCCCAGCTGCAGCACCTGCAGGTTGAACTGACCCGAGAAGGCCCCGTCCTCAATGTAGGTGATTTCATTCTTGGTCAGGTTGAGGTACGTCAGGTTCCCAAAGCGACTGAGGGAGGCATATTGTACACTCTTGATCTTGTTCTCATTGAGCCTTAGGTCCACTATGGTGTTGTTGATCTGCTGGGGGATGGATTCATAAGGGGGCTGATTCTGGCTACAGATGGCCAACCACACGAAACCCTTGTCGCCTTCGATGAGCCAGCAGTCGGCCCGTACCAGCCCACCAGTGTACAGTAGGGACGCGGCTGCCACACACACGCACAGCACCCCCCACCTGCAACCTGCCATCTGGAAGCACCACCGAGAGGCGGATTCCCGGTGAGGTTGCTGCAAAGGGGTGAGGAGGTGGGGAAGTGGGGTGCCAGCAACTAGGGGAAGCTCTGAATTTAAATGGTCACCTCTTGCATGGTCCCAAGGGTGACGAGGTGTGTTAAGGAGTGAGAGAAGGGTGGCTCTCTGTCCAGCCTGTGGGGACAGGGGGCTGGGCAGAAGCCAGGGGAGGGGGGAGAGGTGGGAAGCTCAGTGATGTCCTGTCCCGTCAGGCATGGTCTCAGACTAGGCTGAGGGCTGCAGCGTTCGGTGGGGAGAACCCTCCCTGGGGAAGTCTCCAGTTACTCTCTACCACTTCTGGTCTTCCTGCTGATGCCCATGTCCAGCTCAGCTTGGACTTCTTCCTCCATCTGCCTAGCTTCCTGGCTCTCCCCCCTCAGTTCTTCTTTGTGTCAGTCACTTCTCCTGAAATAAAGAGAACAGGCAGAATTATATGTCTGTTAACCAGACACCTGACCAATGATTATCTTTTGAATATCTACTGAGAGCCCAGTCCTGTGTTAAGAGCTGGTAGGCAGATCAACAATGGACTCATTCCCTACCCTCAAAGGGATCAGCGGATCATAGAATTAGAACTGGAAGAGACCTTCTAGGTCATCAGATTTACAGAAGAGGAAACTGAGGCAGAGAAAGGTTAAGTAACTTGCCCAGAGTCACATAGCTAGTAAATATCTGAGGCTTGGAATTTGACTCTATGTCTCCCCCTATTACAGTTTCAATGCCTTGGGAGAAAAGACATACATTTATAGATATGAAATACATTAATTAATTAAATACATACATTAAAAGACATACTATTTATAGAAAACACATAATAATGCAAGTTATTTTATAATAAATGTTAAATGAGTAGTACAGACAGGAAGTGTTGTACAAGTTCAGAGGAATCATTTTGAGGTGAGACAGTCAAGGAAGGGGACTTGAAAGAGGCAAAAGGTGTGGAGAGATACAGAGTATTAGGGTGAGGGAATGAGTATGAGCCCTTGGTCCTTGGTGTCTCCAAGTTGGAGCACAACAAAAGCTAGCCGGGAGGGTGTGAAAGGGGTGTTCCAATAAGCAGGATGCAGAGATCTGGCCCCACAGATGACCACCAAGGGTCTGGAGTGGAATGTTTGGAGCTCTGTCACTAACTCTAGGGCCGGTGTGACCTTGGACGTAAGTCTCTGGACTTCAGTTTCTTCCTCTATACGATGAAGGTTTGGGGCTAGATGGCTTTTGAGGACCCTTCACACTCTACATCCATGACCTTGTATGCCATGGCCATGATACTGAGTGAGGGAGATAATGCTTTGTGGTAGGAGAGATTGAGGGAGATGTGCTTTGTGGTAGGAGAGATTGTTGAGGTCTCTGATCTGTCTTTCAAGACCATCCAATTCAATCCAATCCAGTAAGCATTTATTAAATGCCCACTATATACAGACTACCAGAGAGACAAAGGTAAGATGTAAACTGGTCCATGCCTTCAAGGAATTTCTATTCCATAGGGAGCCACATCCCCAAAGCATGCTTCCCCCAAACCAAAACCTCCCTCTGTTCATCAGGGAATGCTTGTCCCAGTAGCCTTCATCCTCCTACCACAATCCTAGTATATGGTACATAGGCAAAAGCAGAGACTTCATTTCAGCCCCTATAAGATGAGCAGGGTGGGCAGGTGGGTGGACTCATAAAATTTTCAACAGATTTGTAGAACTATAGCAACATGCCTTTATGAGAAGGTGTGAATCTTGTTTGGTGAGTGCCTTATTATCCAAATGACTGAGCACCTGGGAAACCACCTTCAGACAGCCCATCACCACAGGCAATATTCCCAATAGTATCATTGCTTTCATGTTATAAAATCACTACCTTCCTCTTCGACTATCTCAAGGTCACCATCATCATTGCTAGTAATACCCTTCATGGTACTTAGCAAATCATCACCTTTACTAAAACCATTCCAATCGCTACCTGATATCAACACTTCCACCATCACTGGCATCATGGCAGTCTTTACCATTGTTATTCTCATTGCCATCAACTACTGCTTGAAACAAGCGGTTTCAAAGTGACCAGGGACAATAAAGACTTTTGTGACTGGACGAGAGTTTCTATGGAAAAGATCAGAGCAGGAGCTCAATTTGAGTTCTCAGTAGGACGTGGAATGTCAGCCAAATAAGTAAGCAAGTTAAACACTAGCCTGTACAAAGCAGTAACAATAACAACAACAATAATGATAATAATAACAATAGTAAGAGTCAACATTTTATGGCACTTTAAGTTCGGAAAGCCCTTTACATATACTGTCTTATTTGATTCTTATAATGACCCTGTGAATTAGGTGTTATTATTCTTCTCATTTTGCAGAGGGGGAAGTGAAGGTAGTTCGAGTTAAGTGATTTTCCCAGGGTCACAGTATCTGAGCCCAGGGCTTGAACTCACATCTTCTTGACTCTGTGAAGGAGGTGAAAGCCCTGCTGAACTCTGGCCAGGTCAGATGAAATCTGGAATACCGTCTTCAGTCTCAGACACTGTGTCTCAGAGAGGTTACTGATAAACTAGAATGCAACCACAAGAGGGTAATCCGGATGGTAAAAGGACTGGAGACCACGTCATTCGAGGGTTGATGGGCCTGTCTGAAGGCGGTTCCCAAGCGCTTAGTCATTTGGATATTAAGGCACTTACCAAACAAGCCATCCTAGCTGCTTGAAGGGAACCAGCAATAAAACCTGTGGACTCAGATATCTATGTACAAAGTATGATTAACAAGCAAGAGAAACTACAGATTCTAATGGAAGGAGAGAAGTTGGAATGAGGCAGCATCTTGGGGGTTTAAAAGCATAAAACCCAGGCCTGGACTATGGCTCTGGTAGGGTAGACCTTGAATAAAAGAAACAGGATGGGTAAAAGGGGAAGGAATGGGGGTAGAGTAAAACACTGTATATTAAAAAGATAAACTCAAGGAAATGAAGGAATAGGAAGAGAAGGTAACCATGGTAGAAAACATCTGGGTGAAGATCAACAGAGAAAAAAGCAGAAGCAATATTGGAATCAATGACATAATTATAACTATATATAATCATTACATATTATGTATAATATATAATATGACACACGTTACATATAACATATATTATCTATAATATAATATATAAATATATAATATACAAATATACAAACATAATATATAGTGTAAATATATAAAATAAAAATATAATTTATATATAATAAAATTATATAAATATAATAAAGGGGGAAAATCCATCTAAGCCTCAGTTTCTTCATCTGTAAAATGGTTATGATCCTAATTATAATCATTACAGGGTTGTGATGAAGATCAAATAGTGTAATGTATATAAAGTGCTTTTTGAATTTCAAAATTTCTATATAAATGTCTTATCATGCATAACAAAACTAGGATTAGAGCTTAGTGTCTGTCTCCTCAGACTCTAGTTGAATTTACTAGTTCCTTGTATGCTTCCAGAGTCAAGAGGGATATGTCATGTGATTTCTACCCTGCAGAAAATAATTGTGAGATGAATGCTACTTAGAAAGGAGGGTGAGGTCTTATACCCTATACCCCAATGAGTTCCAAGTGAATAAATGATTTAAGTAAAAAAGGCCATGTAATCTTTAAAAATTGGAGGAAAAGGGAAGGAAATAACTCTCACTATTATGCCTAAGGGGAGAACTCTTAAATGGAGGAGATCGCAAATCAGAAAACAGACTGCTAAAATTATGTGAAGTGGGAAAGTTTTTTTTCTTAACATTTTTATTTAAAGTTTTGAGTTCCAAATTCTCTCTCTCCCTCCTTCCCCCCTCCCTGAAAGGGTAGGCAATCAGATACAGGTTATACATGTGCAATTGTGTAAAACATTTTCATGTGAGTAATTTTATACAAGAAGACTTGGATAAAAGAAAAAATAAGAGAAAGAAAGCAAAAAATAGCATGCTTCAGTCTGTATTCAATCAATATCAGTTCTTTCTCTGCAGGTGGGAAATGGGAAAGTTTTGCATGAATGAAGTCAATGCAGCTAGTAGAAAAAAGGAGGATGTTGACTGGAAAAAATCTTGGCATCAGATCTCTGATAAGGATCTGATATCCAAGATACATAAGGAATTCACATAAATATATAAGACAGAGTCAAATATACAAGATCAATGGATAAGTGGTCAATTCTCAAAAGAATTACCAACTACTAACAATCATATAAAAATGTCTTCAAATCACTAATAATAAAAAGAAATGCAAATTAAAACTCTGAGGTTTCACTTAACGCCTACAAAACTGACAAAGATGATAAAACCAGAAATAATTAATGTAGAGGGGCTGTGCAAAAATGGGCATTCTGAAACACTGGTGGAGCTGTGAACTGATCCAAGCATTATTGAAAAGAACTTGTAATTATGTGAAAAAAGAGATTAAAATGTCCATACCCTTAGGACACCCTTCTCCTACCAGACATATTTTCCAAAGAATTAATGAATTAAAAAGTATTTTTAACCACTTACTATGTGTAGGAGGTTAAAGACATAAAAGTCCCACGTATGCCAAAATATTTATAGCAGCATTTTTTTTGTGGTAGCAAATAACTGGAAACAAAGTATATGTATAGCTCATCATCTGTGGGATGCATCACTGTGGTGCATGAATATCATTGCACTGTAAGAAACAATGAATGTGAGTTCAGAGAAACATGGTAAGACTTAAATGAACTGATACAGAGTGAAGTAAGTGGAAAAGGGAGGGGAATAAGCTTTGCACCTACTATATGCCAGGTTCTTTTCTAAGTCAATAACAGGAAACAACTAACAAAATGACTACAACAATATACATGAAGAAACAAAAAAATGAAATTTAGTGCTGTGTAATTATGAACAAGCTTAGCCCCTGAGAAGAAACAAGTAAATTGGCTTCCTCAGTTTTGTTGAAGAGGTTGGGTGCTATGGGAATAGAATGTCAGACAGAGTGATGCATGAGTTCATTTTGTTGAACTTGTTAAAAAATGAACAATAACAACGCTAAGGGGCAACTTTTTGAGTAGAGAAGGAGGGTTATATTAAAAAATGGATGTGATGTAAAAGCATAAGGCATCAATAAGACTTAAAAATAGAAACATGAGGTTCATGAATCCTTGTGATGGGTTCCATATATTCTTTAGTTTTACCAGAGTCTGAAATAGGCTTCAAGGTCATCTAACCCATCCTTCTGTTCTCAGGAATGAATTGCATTAAGCCGTCTCCTTAGAGATGGATACAGATGTACCCTGCCTAATGTCATTAATTGGACCTGTAAAAATAGGAAATTTGACAAAATAACATTATAGGGGAAAGTAAGATCTGTGGGAACAAAGCAATAAATATTGTAAAAGTTAAGGTCACAATGAAGATACTGTAAAAATGAAATGTATCCATTTTTAAAAAGCAAA